AAGCATATTTTGTCCTGGAGGGACACACAGTACAAGCTATTTATTTTAGGAGCATAGCTTAACCAACTCCTCCAGCTTAGCCCAGAACCACCACCGCCTGGCTCTCCTGGCATGATCTCTCAGAAGCAACAAAGTCTAAATTAGGTGTCCTACTTTGCCTGGAGCCCAGCTAGCCTGCTCTGAGCAGAAGGTGAAAGGCTGTTGGTCTGGCATTCAAGGTCCTGTGTTTCTGACCTTGGCTACCTCTTGTGCTCATTCATTTATCCGGAAATACGTATTGAGCGCTTCAGCTGTACCAGACCAAGGGCTGGGCCCTGGGGGTGCAAAACTGGAGACATAAGGGTGTTTGCATTTCTAGCTTCAGCTCCCATCATAGAAGGCTGCATGCACCCAGTGTTCCAGAAATTTCCATCCAACTCTGTTCCCTTGCACAGTCTGTCCCTTCTTCCCAGAATGCCCTTTTCTCTCCTCTGCCTGCCAAATCCTCACTCCTCCTTCAAGAACTTTTTCTGTGAGGTTTTCATGGGCCCCATTAAGCAAAGTATGAGTGCCTCCCAACTTTGGCCTTCGGGTGCTGAATGCAGCCATGCCCACTCTACATAGAGTGATGGATGGCCCTGGATTACTCTTCATTACTCAAAATGGGACCTCATTCTGAGGTGGTTTCGCCCCTCAGTCGGCCTCAGGATCTAGACCCCACAGCCAACATGTCATCAGGCTTTGCGCAGCAGTTTTTCACTCTGATAAGGTGTATTGTAGCCTTACAGAAGGCTGGGGTCCAGGGTGGGTGGGCTGATGGTCCAAAAGACCCCAGGAAGCTTGCATGATAATAAGGTAGGGATGAATAGTTTTGGGGTTGATTTATTAGTGTTTTCTCTTTCAAGGGAGAGCCTGGAAGAAGCAGGCTCATTTCCCGGCTTCAGAAAGAAGAGCCGGCCTTGGTCAGCGAAGGGTGGGCGGGCCGAGCCTGGCAGGGCAGGAGTTGGCCGTCGCCCACTTACTTAGACACAACCCATTGGCCCATCTGCTCCCCTCCCATGGAACCTGCCGGACACGGCAGACAGGCCCCAGATGATCTGCCTGTGGGTCTTGTCTGTATCTTTCCGAAAGTCAGGACCTCATCACGTCCTGTTGCAAAATATAGTGCCCAACGGAATACTTCAGGTAGAGCAAGGCCAACAGATCAAGAGACAATTGCCACTGAGAAGATAGTTTGGGACTCACAGTTCCCAAGAGGAGGGGCAGGGCCCCATGGGGTAGCACCAGGGTCAGCCAGGAGGAGGCAGAGAGACTTGGGGTGGGGGTGGGGTGTGGATGCGGGGGAAGGTATGGGCAAGGTAGGGGAAGCAGGCTTACGATTGGTTAGTTTGAATAATTTCGGTGGGCTCTGGAGCAGATGGACTCCCCCTGGCTTGGCATCTGGGCTCCGAGTGTGAGAGCCTGATAAATGAGGGGACTGGGGGTGTGGGCACTGGCTTGGTGGGGTTGCATGTGGAAAGCATGCTCTCGGGCTAGTCTAGGAGCTAGCTAGCCCTGGGAGGGACTCAGTCCTGCTCTTCAATCAACTCTGTCTTTGTAGTGCACACGCAGCCGCAGATGGGACATAAACAGATGGGCGTGGCTTGTTCCAAGAAAACGTTATTTATGACAGTAGGCAGTGGAGAGGAATTGACTGGCGGGCCACAGTTTGCAGACTCCTGGCTCAGAGAGTTGGGGGTCCTCAGGTAGGCATGGGCAGGGTGCAGGGTGAGAGTGGAGGGACAGGGCTGGAGGAGCAGCACGTCACCTAGAGGGTGAGCCAGGGGCGGGCTTTGTGCCAGGAAATAGGAGAGGGAGCCTCTGTTAGGATGTCACTCCATTTCCTTCTGGCAACTGCTGTGAGCTCACTGCCGTTCCTTGGAGTTACCTGTCTTTTCTCTTCGGTTGCTTCTAAGATTCCCACTTCATCCTGATTTCTGCAGTTTCACTATAACGTGTGAGGTGTGGATTTATTTTTATTTATTCTGTTCCCTATTATGGTGCCATTTAATACAAGAACTCGTGCTTTTCTTTAATTCTTGGACCTTCTCAGCCATTATGTCTTCAAATACGGCTCCTCGCCATTTCTTCTACTTCTGCTGGAGCTCCTATTAGACAAAAGTTGATACCTTTGAAACCAACTTCACCCTTAGCTACACTTTCATGGTTTAAGAAAATCCCCTTCTTTCTCCGTGCTGACTTCTGGGTAAAATTCTTCCATCTTACCTTCCAATTCATGAATCTTCTGTTTAATTCCTTTCTCTCTAGAGTTTATCCAATGCTTTGAATTTTTCTTCTCAATGACATTACTTGTCAATTCTGAGTTTTCTTCTTGGCTCTTTTTTCCTATTTCTTTGATTTTATTTCAGGATGTTCTGTTCCTCGAAAACGTATATTCCTCCTTGACTTATCTCTTTCAACATCCCAACATCACTATGGAAGAGTCCAGCTTATCTTTGCAACTTGCTGTCTGCAGACAGAGATGTGCATCCACATGGCAGGGCAGCTTGGTCTGGACAGAGCAAACCATGCAGGACGAGTCAACGTGGTCTGACCCATCGATAGACTTGCAAGTAATGTCACTACGGCGACATTGGCGACCAATGCAATGTCGGAGGCATGGATTTCATTGGAGGCTACTTATGAGGGAGGGGGAGGCACTCAAACATTGAGAGCTTGGCTTTGCTGAGTGACAGCCATCCGAAAGACAGGGGTTCTGATTCCCCCCACCCAAGGCACAGGTTTGTCTCTCCTGAATTCAGAGCCAACAGCCCTACTCGTTTTGAACTGACTTCAACAATATTTTTCCACATTTGGGCACAGCCACTATTTGCCAAGAGAAGGGCACAGCAATGCACTGCTGTGATTCTCTGAGGATGGGGACTGGGCTTCCTTATTCTCTGCTCTGCATCTATCACGCTGCTCAATAAAAGTTTACTGACTTGCATTGTAAAACGGTCGTTTAATATGAGTCATGATATAAGTACGTTATACATACCATAACTTCTACATTCAGACAGGTGCTGTAGCTGCCTTGGGGGCCTGTGTCCCAATTGAGCCATGTGGCATTGTCCCAGAGGGTAGAGGGACGCTGCTGAAATTGCTCGAGGACCATTCTCTAAGCCGATGTAGATCGTCCTAAATTAATCCTATGGTCACACTTCATGTGTATGCACTGTATATGTGTGTGTACGTCCGTGAGGTATATAGACAATAAAAATGAAACAATGTAATATATGTGGGTACATTATATACTGATTTTGTAAAAAGCAATATTTCAAAATCCATTAACACATCAAACCAACCCTGTTGCAACATTTGCAACGCCCCCTCTTCACTTTACTGCATCCCAATTTAATAAAACCGTGTTTGGCTTCTAGGAAGGTTTCCAGATCTTTCAGTATTTGATAGGTCAATAATTATCATCATATGTTGACGTCTCAATATACTATTTTCATGATGTGTTAATATAACAATCCTTGCACGAGACTTCCAGAGTTGCTGTTTTATAACTATCGACTGGCAAATTAAAGCTACCCTCAGTGGCGAGAAAGCCAATTGTTGGAGATACCACCATTAGTGGAAGGATTGTTGAATGCGTGATTGGCATACATGGAATTAAGCTGGAAGTGAGCACCCAGAACATCCAGAACTTCTAAAGAACAGGTAGTTTGCAAGGATCCCAGGTGAGTGAATTTTTAAAGGTACTCGGTACTCTAAAGGCTCCGTGAACACACGGGGCTCGCCTTTCCCTTGGAACCTCTCTGGGTCCTCAGTGGAAGTTCCCACATCTACAACGGAGCCAAAGTCAGAAGTGGAAAATCATCTGAAATTGGAGAGAGTGTGAAAAACATGCAGAACGTGGACATGGAGGGAGAAGGGAAGGAGAGGAGAGACAGGTGGAGGGAGGGAGGGAGGGAATAAATACAGACACAAGGAGACAGGATGTGAGGCAGCACGATGCCAGCATGACGAGAGAGGAGAGAGGATACGGAAGCACTAGAAAGAGCCTGTTGGACAGGCGAGGACGCTCCGGTCTTCCCCAGCCTCACTGGGCTGGCCTCCAGGTCTGTGTGTACAACTGCTGCGTGTTGGACCCTGGTACGTATCGGTAACCCGCGGATCCCTATGCGGCGCTGGTGGTGAGCTCACCCTTTTTCACCCTTCTCATTCTGCTGGAATGCAGCTCTGCTTTCTGCTTTGGCTCCACGGGGGTCTAGCTACCAGGGGCCTCTTTGATTCACTGGGTCATTTACAGTTTTGCTACAGTGGGATGGATCTCTCCACCCCACACCTGAGTATCTAGTCTTTGCCGAGGGATGAAATCCCAGAGTTCTGAGAAATCCCAGGAGGACACCTTCTCATTTCTCGGTCCTTTTTGAATGCTATCCCTTGCAATGCTGAAACTGCTCAGAATCTGAAAGGGGTTGCCTTTTTTTCTGAGAAGGGCTTCAAAGCCAAGGGGATGACAAGTTCACCGCGCCTGGGGGAGTAACAAGAGTGGTTCCTGGTCAGGGTATTCCCAGCGGACTTATCCTGACAACTCCCTAAGCCTTGTGGGTAAACTTTCATTTCAGACACACCAGATGGTGGCGCCATTTGAAGCTGTACAAAGATCCTCCCCAAACCACAGACTTTCTCTCTGCCTGCTGAGTCTTTTCCTCTTCTGGTCCAAAGATAAAATGAAAAGGAGAGCCGGTTCTAGGTCACCATGGCAACCACCGGGAAACACCTGTCTCTGTTGGCAAAGGATGGTTGACAAGGGAGAGAGCTTGAAAAACTACAAACATCTTGTTTTCATGGACTTACAGCTAGTTGTCCAAATATGTGTATCATTTAAGGTATATACAAAAAAAAATCATTGAATTTAGAGCGTATTTTTATCACCCAGTATAAACATCTTCTGGGACAGTCCTGTGCATATCTGAAAATAATCTAAACAATATAAGTTGTAGCTAGTAAAGGGTAAGCATGTTCACTTAGTACATGTGGTGGGTACCAGGGACCAAGTGACACACAAAAGGAATGTGTTTTCTGCCCCTGGTGGAGCTGACTTTCTAGATAGGAAGACCGTACACAAGTAAAAAAGTTGACCAAAAACCCCATTTATGTACCCATTTATGTTAACTCTCCCCCTCTGTTATAATATAGCCCCAAAAGGCTGGACTGTATGGACCCTCCACAGAATCCACACGGATCTGTGATATCAACTTAACCAGAGCAAATAAATTGGAGGCCTTAGTACGATATCTGCTCTCTAGAGGGTTGGCGAGAAGCCTCCCATGAAGATACAAGGACACGCTATATCAGTGACGTTTGTAGGAGCCCAGTGGTCTGGAGCATGTCAGGACATCCCCTCCACAGGTAAGGACACCTATACACCTGCAGTGAGCCCCTGTGGGTTCTGGAGGCAGCCGGGGAGACTCATTCCTAGGCAGTAGGGTTGAGCCCAATGAAACTGGCCACATGTGCCAGGCTGGACTTCGAGCTTCCATGGAAGCCACTGCGACAGGCCTTCCCTCCCTCTCCTGTCTCAATCGGGAGTGTCCACAGCAGTTGTCCTATGCCTGTCCCACCGTTCTTTCTTGGGAGGTGGGGGTTGGGAGGAGATACTGTCTCTTTGGAGTTCATGGGTCTTCCGATGGAGAGAAACTGTGCAAGAAACTGTACTTGAGAGACCCCATGGAGGAAGCCGTGCACCTCCACTGACTTCAGTGACACAGCCCTGGACTTTGAGTCCCACATGATGCTGAAACAGCATGAGATGTTGGGGGCAGGGTGCGGGAAGGGTGAGTGAATTCTGCCCATGGGGGTGTATGAATTTCTCACCTCACCTGCTCTGCCAGGGTCTTGCCACCCCTCCAGCAAGAGGTGGACTCTTTGTCCCCTCCCCTTGAACTTGAGTGGGCTTTTGTGTGACTGCCTCAACTCTCAGAGGACGGTAGAAGTGATACTGTATAACTTTTGAGTTGTCTGCCATAGGAGTGACACAGCTCTCATGAAGGGCCATCGCAGTCCCATAGCTTCCTGTGGGATCGACTATGCACATGGAGAGGTCATGGATGAATATGAAGGTCAAGAGAGAGAGAACAAGGCTGAAGATGTTCATTTAGGAGATACCAGGATGTATGTGGTTTTAGAAGTCTTGCGTCTGGGTTCTATGACTTAGATTAGAGAGGAAGGAGAGAGAGAGAGAAGAGGGCATAGGGCTGATCTCTGGGACACCCCATTACCCAGGTTGCTGCCAGAGAAAGGGAAGTGTGGTCTAGACGCTGGCACAAGAGGGTGCCCCAAAGGCGAGGGCTGCTGAGAGCTGGAGAAGGGGACACCAAAATGCCTACACAATTTGATACCCCAAAGGCCACGGGTGACCCATCAAGAACGTGTCAGTACAGCCCAGGGGACAAAAGCCAGTGCAGTGGTCTGGGGTTTCATGCAAGTTAGGAGGTAGAGACAGCATGTAAGCAACGAAGGGCTGGCCTTCCACCATCAGACCGAGAGAGAGGACACAAATGCAGGTAGATTTATATCTGGAAGTAGAAACATAAGGGCATTTGCCAAGATGAGAGAAAGAGAGAGAGAGAGAGAGAGAGAGAGAGAGAGAGAGAGAGAGAGGGAGGGAGGGAGAGAGAGACCCCTAAATGGCTGCAACCCCAACCAGACGGTCAATCAACAAACCCAGAAAGCAAGTCCTGACCTGACCTTTCCCCGCTCAGAGCCACTGGCCACTGCAGCTCTCATTCGTTCTCTGTTTGTCTGGCTCTCCAGGGCTATCTTCCCAGGTGGCTGTGGGCTCCTGAGCAGGTCTTTTATTCTTTGGTGTTCTCACTGGTTTCCAGGAAGTGCTTCGTTCCTCAGAGAAGCCCATGCAACTTGCTGATTGAGAGCTTGTCAACTTCAGCTAACCAGCTGGAATTGCTAAGGGCCACGCAGGAATCCACGCAGTTTATAAAGAAATCACAGGGTAGCACAGCTGTTGGAAGTTAACTCGCCAGAGAGTTCAGCACTCTCAGAGAAAGGAGAAGGTTCTAACAGGTCCCCGAGGCATGTGGCTGGTTGTTCTTGACAATTAACACAAGCTACAGGTTTCCTGGTAACCGGAGGCTGTGGATGGTCCCTTGTCTAGTAAACAAATGATCTTTACTTCATGAACTTTCTGGGTACTGCTGCAACTTTAAAAGGAGGCACTCTGTCTAGTGGAGTTCCAAGTTCTTGGGTGTGGGGCTTTTCCCGCCTGATGTCAGGAGATGAACCAACCCTCGTAGGAGCAGGAGCTGGGACACCCCTACTCCATACCCAGCCCTGATGGGGACCAACTGGCTGCAGCGGTTCTGGCTATGATGGTGGGAGCCCTTGCTATGACCTCAGCCTGAGGTCAGCAGGGCCTAGACTCCAGCTAACACCTTCAGGGAGAGGGGAGCTGTACAGGCTGTCAGCAGAGTTGGGGTGGGGGCAAGAGGTTGGAGAGGCACGGCTGCAGGGAGCAGGTGCCTATTCTGGCCCCTGTGTGAGGAGCCCCCCGGCAGCAGGGGGGTCACTGCACCCCCATATGGAGCATGGGCAGCTCCGCCAGCCAGGTGGCTGCTGTGTGTGTCAGACAGACTCACCTTTACATCCCTACCCAGGGTTTTGCAACCACACAGGGATGAGGCTCAGGACTGGATGGTTTGCTAGCACTCGCTCGGGGAGACGCAGCCACCTGCCAGGACGGCATTTACCAGTGACCTGTGACACCATCCACAGCTGTGGTCAGCAGGCTACTCAGCTTCCTGCAGCCAAGTCCCGACGAGCTATGCGGCTGCTGCAGAAGGAAAGGACGCAGGCGCCCTCTCAACCCCTGAGGACCGGCTTTTGTCTTCGACTTCACAGACAGCTTAAAATTGTTACGGAAAAACATTTTATTAAACATGGTCAGCTCGCTTCCAATGAAATGATTCAGTTTTCATTTACAGTGTGGTGTCCAATGTTTGTCTCCTGTGTTTTTGTTTTTTGTTTTTTTTTTCCTTTCAAAACCAGCACCAAAACGTCAAAGAAAAAATACCATGGGTACAGTACGTAATGCAAGTTAACTAATGGAAACTATATACATTTGACTCGGAAGAAAAGAGAACAAAGCAATGACAGTATTGCCATTGAGGGACTTTCAATGTCAAGCCATGGTCAACCGACAAGGTTTCATTCGCACCAATGAAAATAGCACCATAAGATTGTAAGACTCGTATAGTGACGGGTTTGTGCAACCAACAAGGTACAGTACTTGAGTGACAGACAGTACAGGGTGTTGTCAACAACAAAGAAACGCCGCTGTTGTAATCACAGGGTTTCAGTGATTTCTGAAGAAAGTGGAACCGGAATGCCACGACGGCCTCCCCGAAATCAAATACCACTTGTGGGCTGGTGACTCAGAGGAACCTGCAGGAGCTGAAAGAGCTCAGGAAGACATGGACTTCGGGGAACCACTGGGGTGTTTCATAATCACGGAACCAACCACTTGCTTTCTAAGAGTGTGGGGCCCCTGGCAGGGGCGTCCAGTTAATATGGTCAAGGTGACCAGAGAGGAAACTCAGAGGCACCAGGGAAAGCGCTCACCTAGGAGTGTAGATATGTGCTCGCCCCGCTCGGCTGGGCCCGCAGACCCAGGAGTTGAGCACGCCAGGCTGCCCCGGTTCCGTCCATCTGTGATGAAGCACAGAGCATTTGGGGGCTGGGAGAAAACTGAAACCTAGCTCCCCAAGATTTAAGGGTTTTGTGGGAACGGGGCTTTGGGGAGTCTGCTGGTGGCCAAGCCTGAGCTGGGGGTGGGGGTGGGGGGTACAACAGTGTTTTGCACAGGCCCTGGGGCAACGGCTAGAGGGTGACATTCCCGGGTGAGTGGCCCCATCCCAGTCTCCTCTCGTTTCTCTCCACAGAGCAGCACCTAAGGAGGTTTCTCTACACTTCTCTTTGATTTAGGTGGGGCTGCACACAGTCCCTGCCATCTGCACCCCTTCTCTGCCTCCGGGTAGTGAAAATCCAAACCCAACACCCAGATCATAAGGCAGGCTTGAGACGGCAGAGAGGTTTTTGTTTGTTTTTTTTTCTTCCTGGTGTAAGCCCACCCTCAAGTTGTGACATCAAAAATACGAACACAGATACATCAGCACAGCACCGACACATCAAGAAGCACCTAGAGAGGATCCCATGAAGAAGGGCCTATGTGAGAGCCCTCAGAAATAAGGGAGGAGAAGGTGGGCTTCTCGTGGTCCAGTCCTTAGCACCCAGCAAACACCCATCAACTCACTCAGCAAAACAGAATCTCCCGGCATCTAGGATCCCTGTTCCCAGGCTAGGGTCCCTTTCTCCCAGCTCCCGGAGTGGGCAAGGGCCTCTCATTCTCTGTGCTCTCAGAGAGGCCACTCTTGTCATCTCCCTAGGATCCAGAGAAGGCACAGTTCTGTTCTGAGGGGCGAGGGGACATCAGGAGAGGAAGACCTCCTTCATGCTTTTCTGAGTGTCATTCTTGCCCCACTAAGAGGAGGGGTCAGCAATGACAGCATGGAAGGTCTGGGCTATAGGAAGGTATGACAGGTGTGCAGCAATCCCTGCCAGGTGGCACTTCTCCACTGATCCTGTCACACCAAGCTGAGCGGCCCCTGGAGGAAACCCGCCCCATGATGGGCGAAGCAGTCAGGCCTGAGCTCCAGTCTGCAGAGGTTCTAAAGATAATCAACTTCAGATAGATGGCCAAGGTCAGTGGGAAGCCACCTATAAGGTGCAAAGCTTTATGAAGCACTGGCTAGAGTAGAGGTCCCCAGAAGGCAGAGGGGGAGCCCCTGTACACCCCTGACAAAGCTGTGCTGAGCTCCCCTTTATGCCAGCAAGCTATCCCACAGCCCAAATTAGCACATGTCCTGTTTCACAGCACCTGGGAGAAAGGCTCTAGATGTGCCCCCAAACCCAAACCCTTCCAGAACATTCTCCCCGCATGGGTGGTGTGCACAACTATGTGGCCCTGGTCTCCTTGTTGGCTTACACACAGTCAGACTCTCAGAGGGAAGACGTCCAAGGCCAGGCCCGGCCGGGGTCTGGAGGAGAAGTTTTCAGAGATGGGCACACAGGTACAGTGCCGGTTCCTGTGGTGTTGCGAACCGTTCCAGCAGCCCGGCCCCCTCAGGAGAAGCCATTAGCAGAGGCTCGCTGACATCTGTCCTTCCATCCAGGGTGTCGCTGGCTTTCAGAATAAAGCCTGTTTCAATGTCAAATGTCTCATTTTGGGCTAATCCCCCTGTGGTACATCAAGCACTGGGAATTCAAATGTCAGAAGAAAGCCAAGACGTGCCTCTCTGTAGACAACTGTCAGAGGTGTTCCCTTTGAGGTACACGGAACATCAGAAACTACAATTATTTTGTGACTCATGCCTAGGTTTTCCTTACTGTAGAAAGCCATCCAGTGGCTGTTAACAATATATTAAGTATAAAAACACTAACGGCAAACGTCAAGTCGGCTGTCAAGTTTGGTGGCGTTGGATTTTTGGTGACAGCCTGGGGGGTGGGCGGTGATGTGCTTTGGGGGCTCCCGGCCGCAGGACTGGTGTGCTCTTGGGTGGGCGGGCTTTCAACTAGCCATGTCGTCGGGATTCGGACCTCACGTCGGAGCGTGGCGGGACCGCGGAAGCGCGTGTCAGGAGCTTGGTGATGGAGGTGGTGGGGGCTGGCGCATCTTGTTGGCATAGAAGTCCCTGCACGTCTGGCAGCAGCGCTGGTACCACCTCATGTCCTGACAGAGGTTCTTTTCTCGGATGACCCGACAGTACACCGTCCACTGGTCCCGAGTGCATTTGTAGGTCAGAGCAGCTAAGGGGACAGCGGAGAGAGAAAGCCCAGGGGTTATGGATGGCACGGGGAGGTCACGATGCATGCACAGAGATGACCTGTGGCCTGACACGCTCGGGGGCTGCCCTCACTAGGTGTACCCTGCAGCCTGGCACAGACTGAGGAGATCACGTCCCCTGCCAGGGCCACTGTGGATGCTGATTTCTTCTACAGGGGACATAACCTGGTGTCCACTCTGACTCCCTGGCAGAGTTGGGTGTTCTGGCTGCCTCCTCTGGGGCGAGGGCGGGGGGCACTGCTCATTCAGCTTCGGAGCTAAATGGCACTTACTGTTCTCTTATGGTGGAAGATGTCACCACTGCTGGCATTTGTGACACAGAACGGCACAGCGCAGTGAAGGTCAAAGGGCCCACAAAAGCACAAGGTCACAGCACAGGCCAGTGACCCAAATCTCCTTCAGCGCCTTAGTTCTGCGGAGAGAAGGTCCTGACCGAGGGGGGTCTCTGCAGGATACCAAGGGGGCTTGTGCACGCAACAGCCTGGGGGGCACCTCGGTGAGCTCAAAGACCCCCCAGGGAAACCATGGAGAAAGCCCCTTCATTCTGGTGGCATTCAGCACTGGGGACAGGAGCTTCTGGAATATTCCCTGTGGATTTCTATTTGCAAAAGCAGAAACCCTGTTCATGGGTATCATCAGATCAGTGTCAAACCTTCTTCTTGTGCCACTGCCAGCCTGGGACATGGCCTGCTAACGAGCCGGGTCTGGAGCACTCAGAGCCAAATTGCTCACCCAAGAGCTCCCCGCTGCATGAAAGACCCACCTCTGTTTTCTTCTCCGCCATTAGCTTAAGGAACACCCTATGTATACATCACCACGTTGTCATGCATGCCACCCTCAGGTCCTTCATTTCCAGAAGAAAGCACCTCCTTGGGTCCCCCTCATGCACAAGAATCCTAAAACAATTGAGGAACATTCTTTTCTGTTCCCCGTTTGTTGGCAGATGGGCTAGTGGGACCATTAGAGGGGCCACGTTGGAGACTGCAGTTAGCAAACATCTTTTTCATGACAAGGAATGAAATTCCATCTTGGAAACCTCTGATCTTCTATAGAAATGACAAGTGTTGGCCTCGCCAGGACTCCTATAAGGCTCAAGGCTTGAAGGGGCTTTCAAGCCTATAGAACACCCACTGCCAGTGAGGACTTGCTGGCTTGGGGGACCCAGCACCCCTCAGAAGCCGGGGCCAGCAGAGGCACTCACCAAGGCGAGGGGAGGTGATGGTGTTCACGTTGATCTTGTCATTGCAGACCTCCTGGTGGCACTGTCTGTAGGCCGCTGGCTTCAAGAGGGCAGGGCACTCGTTGCCATGGCGACCGGTGACCTTGTGCATACACTGTACCACGCGGGACTGCAGGCCCTTCCCACAGGTCGACGAGCACTGCCAGAGACAGGGACAGCCTGAGCTGGGGGCCTAACCTGGGCTGGGGGGCTCTGACGATGACCCTGTGATGCGGCCGCCCCCTGAGCTTGGCCCCTGTGTCATTCGTTCCCAGGTGCTTGAAATAATTGCGGAACAAGAGGGCTAGGCTGTGCACCAGCTGCCTGATGGAAGATGGTTTCATGATGTTATGGACTGAATGTTCCCATGAAGCCCTAATCCTGAATGGAATTTGGAGGTAGGGCCTTTGGGGAGTAATTAGGTTTAGATGCGGTCTTGAGGGTGGAGTTCCCGTGATGAGATTAGTGTCCTTATAAGACAAGGAAGACAGACCAGAGCTCTCTCTTTCCACAATGTGAGGACACAACAAGAAGGCGGCCGTCTGCAAGCCAGGAAGTCCCCAAGAGCCTTGATCTTGGACTTCCAGCCTCCGGAACTGTGAGAAGTAAATGTTTGTTCTTTAAGCCCCCCAATCTATGGTATTTTGTTATAGCAGCTCAAGCTGAGACAAGATAATTGCTGAAATACTAGTTTATGCTGGTAGCATTTCATGCCCCAACTCTCACCCCTGTACCAGGTAGAGAGCCGGGCTTTGAAATTCTTCAGACATTGGGCAGGGTGGCTTGTTGGTGTCCTGGAGGGACTGGGCCTGATGACCATGGGGGTCTCCCCAGCACGATGTGCGGCACGAGGCTCCTGGGCCTTTGCCCAGCCCTGTGCATGGAAAGGGGCCCCGTGATGACTGGGGTTGAATTCCCCACAAGGCTGGAGGGTTAGGGCTCAGAATTAAGTGAAGTTAGAAAAAATGAATTAGTGCAAACCTTTCTTGAGTTATAGACTCATGGCCTAATATTGTGGCTAACAGCTTTAATGTAGACACCAAATTCCTAGTTGCTGGCATCTCCGGCACTTGCAAACCTGGGTTTGCTCTAACCAGGCCGATGCAGTTGAACAGACCATCCCAAGTTCCCCAGGAGTGGGCTTGGTAAGACTTCACTATGCGGAGCTATTCTCCTCCTGCTCCTTTTTGCACCCTTTTAAAGTGTTTCACAGGGAGCCTGCCAGGTGTCCAGCTCCCCCACCCTGATCCTGCTCTCTGAGCTCCTTGGCTCTTGCCTGCTTTGCCTGGAGTCCTTGGAACTGTCTCTCCATTAAGTTGGTTTCTTCCCAGCCAGAGAGCCAGGTCGATGCGCACATTTGCCCCATCTGATGTCCCCTGTGATGTACAGGGCTCTGAGAGCGCTCTGCAAAACTTCAATGAAGCAAAGGCCATGGGTGCAGCAGCTCAGCTGGACTTCATCGGGGCAGCTCAAAGTGGAGAGAGGGGGCAGGGCCTGTCCTATGGATGCCACACGTAGAGAGGATGCCAGGTAGCGTCTGGGTCGTATCTGGTCTCTTCCTATTCTCTTCCCCTTTAGGCCTGACCACAGCCTGTGTTGCAGGAAGGGCCTTCCCTGGGGATCTGGGATGAGCCACCAGGCCAAGCTCAGCAGGAGACAGTGCTATTACTATCCGTGCCCAGGTGGGTACCGTCTGCTCCCAAAGGGGCTTTTATGCACCAGGTGAATTCCTCTGCTGTCTAGTCTGTCAAGCAGGAGCATGATTTTTTTCACTTTAGAAGGATAAAGGGGCCCAGAGGGCAAGGTGCTCTGAAGGGGCCCCAGTCTCTTCAAATCACAAAAGAGGTAGAAAAACCACAAGCAACCCCTCTGTGGGCCCTGGACTATTCACATCAGAAGAGTGTCTTTCTAGGACAGGCAAAGCCTCAGCTCTGCACCTTGTTCCATGTCTTCTGGATAAATCCATCAAGGGCATCTCATGGCCTTGGGAATTCATCCTATATCGCAAATGTAGAGTTCTGGGCTCCAGGCCTCAGGAGTTGGCACTGGAGCACACGGAAGTTTGACAGGTGCTGAGGTGAAGGGATGGGGGTTATGTAAGGAGGTTCCCACCAAGGGGAGACCATGAACATAGGACAGTGCCACAGCCAAGTGACTTCTGCCTGGGGGCATCTGGGAGGGAGCTGGCTGCAGGTGGGGATCTGCTGCATGGAATTACTGGGCGAGCTTTTACAAATTTTAATGCCCCAGACCAGTTGGTATCTCTGGAGGGGCACCGGGCATCAGTGTTTTCTCAATGCTCTCCAGGTGACTGCCACTTGCAGCCAGAGCTGACTTAACCCTGAACTTCTTCCCAGGGACCCATGTAGAGTGTGTGCAGTTCTCTTTTCTTGCAATGAATTAGTTGAGTATTTATGTACAGACATGTGTAATTAAGCAAGAATGGACATTCAGTTGCAGCCCTGATAACTGAGTTTATATACAGGTGACAGGTGTGCTCCAATATTAGGGGACAAAGGCTCTCACTCAAAGTTATTCTTGGAAAAAAGTAAGATGCCTAATATTTAAGTAAGAACAAAACCTCTCACAGTTAGGAGACATGAGGAAGGGGTGCCCTTAATTATTTTATAGCAAGATCACTGAGGGAAAAAAAATAAATAAAAGGAGGCAAAGAAATGTAATGGTCTTCTCCTGGGGAAGCAGAACTTCATAACCACAAATAAGGGAGGGTGGTGTAAGAAATGTTAAAGATCACATACAAAAACAACCTGGTCAGTGATATACCCGGAGGGGAGATCAACTAACAGGGAGAAGGAAGGAAAAGGCTCAGGGTCCGAGAGCAGTGCAAAGTCCTGTGATCACAGAGAAAAGGCATGCCAATGCAGAACCACACCAACACAGGGCAGCCATGACAACACAGCACAGCCATGCCAATGCAATGCAAAGTTATGTCAACACGGTGCAAAGTTATGCCAATGCAATGCAAAGTTATGCCAACACGGTGCAAAGTTATGCCAATGCAGTGCAATCTTACACCAACACAGTGCAAAGTTATGCGAACACGGTGCAAAGTTATGCCAACATGGTACAAGGTTATGCCAATGCAGTGCGATTTTATACCAACATGGTGCAAAGTTATGCCAACACGGTGCAAAGTTATGCCAATGCAGTGCAGTCTTACACCAACATGGTGCAAAGTTATGCTAACACGGTACAAAGTTATGCCAACATGGTACCAAGTTATGCCAACACGGTACAAAGTTATGCCAACATGGTATAAGGTTATGCCAATGCAGTGCAATTTTATACCAACACGGTGCAAAGTTATACCAACATGGTACAAAGTTATGGCAACACAGTGCAAAGTTATGCCAATGCAGTGCAATCTTATGCCAATGTGGTACAATCTTATGCCAATGCACTGTAATGTTATGCCACAGCTTGAGAGGGAAGATCCAGTGAAAGCAGCACAATTCACAAAAAGGTGGCATCTCAGTGAACTCAGCCGGGCAGTGACCAGGCACACTCCCGCAAACGAACAGGTGACTCAGAAAGTGGAGCCGTGGTGACGCAGACAGACACTGCAACTATTAGGCTGCACCTTACAAAATTCTTATATTCCACTGTATTTGACCTGCACAAGCAGCCATGTCATCAGGTTCAACTTTATAATGTGCTAGAGAGAGAAAACAGCAGTATTTCTAAGTTAAAATACAACTTTAAATACGAACGTTACCTATTTTAAGTGGGCATTTGACAGGTCCACCTACAAGATGAGAGACTTTTATATCTAAATGAGTCACAAAATTAAAACAAAAACAAAAACACCCTGCTCCCTTGGGAAATGGGATGACCCTGTACTCAGGGCCTTATTTCTGTGATTATTTGGCACTAACGAGGCCCACTTAGGGAAGAGAGAAATCTACAGACAACACCAACATCTCTGTTCCCATCAGATCTTGACTTGGGCCATCGGCCCTGGTGCCGCCTGCTGCAGGAGACACACCCAGAAGGGAAGCCAGGTAGCGTCGTATTCCTTCTTGGAGGGGGCACCACCCAGGGTGGGCCAGGTGGCTGCTGGGTTTCTGGGTCCCCAGGAGCCTGCACAGGCTAACCGAGAAGACGCTTGCAACTCTGCCTGCCTCACCCCCGTGGCACCCCTGCCACAAGGACCAGGCCCTGCCAGCTGGGCAAGCAGCCGGGCTGAGTCACTTCCTGGCCCAGAATGCCAGGAAGGGCTTCAATGTCTTTTGCAGGTGTTGTCATTATGGATGTGAAAACTCAGACAAGGCCTCCATCCTCTTAAAACCAAGTGCAAAATTGACAGTGTCTCTGCCCGGAAATTATCAAGGACCATCATTAAAAGGCAGGTGTTTGGGGCGGCCTTGAGGAGGAATTTCCCCTCTGAAAATCCTTAGTCTTGCTTTACATGCTTTGAGGCCGTGTGTGTGTGTGTGTGTGTGTGTGTGTGTGTGTGTGTGTGTGTGTGGTGGGGGGGGGGTAGAATTCACGACACCCCTAGAATGTGTAGGCGGCGTGTTCATTTGTCCTGTGGGTTTGCTCATAAGTTTCCACAACAGTGTGAAACCTTCCACAACAATTCTGAGGCTGACATTGGCCACCGAGCTCAGCAGGGGTCAGTATCTTGCCAAAGGTCAGAGAATTAGTGAGTGGCAGAGGAGGGACAGGGCCCTGGCGCCCCATCCCATTGACCAAATGCCATCTTGCTCTATTAATTAGAGGTTGGGCTTTGATGGGGGGCCAGGAATCCAAAAACCAGGTCACACTGCCCAGCTCCCCCATTTATTCATTGTCTTTCCTAGCATGGGTCACTGGCTTTTAATTTTCCAGTCTGGAAAAAGAACGGCTCCGCGAGATCATGGAAAAGTGTCTCCAAAGCTCTTCCACAGAGACGCAAGTGTCTGTTCTCATGGCCCTCCCGCACCACCAAGAGGCAGGGCCCGGCCAGGTGAGAGGCAGCTACCCCTTAGCTGCTGTGGGGGCACTTGGAACCCTGCAGACTCTGCCTCTCATGGGGATTTGAGTCTTGGGGTAGGTTTTGTGAAATTTTAGCTGCGGTCCTAGTGGCTGTTGTGCATACAGCTCTGGGCTGTGCATGGCTTGTGCTAGCTTGGAAGAGCCTTGCAGAGCACTGGGTGT